CCCAGGGTTCCCTCAGGCCCTCCACCTAGGGGCGGCTGACACAAGAAAGCTACCCAGGGGTCTACCTCTTTCCCTGGACTTGCAGGATATGCCCCAGGGTTACCCCTGGCCCTCCACCTTGTTGCCTCTTACCCCAGCAAGCTACCCAGGGGTCCACCTTTCTCTCTGGACATGAAGTATAGGCCCCAGGGTGCCCACTGGCCCTCCACCTAGGGGCCTAAGACCCCAGCAAGCTACCCTGGGGTCCACAACTCTCCCTGGACTTGCAGTAGTGGCCCCAGGGTGCCCCCTTTGCCTCCACCCCATGGCCTCTGACACCAGCAAGCTACATAGGGGTCCAAATCTCTCCTTGGACTTGCAGTATAGGCCCCAGGGTGCCCCCTTGCCCTCCACCCAGGGGTCTCTGACCCCAGCAAGCTACCCAGGGGTCCACAACTCTCCCTGGACTTGCAGTAGAGGCCCCAGGGTGCCCCCTTGCCCTGCACCTAGGGGCCTCTGACCCCAGCAAGCTACCCAGGGGCCCACATCTCTCCATGGACTTGCAGTATAGGCCCTTGGGTGCCCCCTGGCCCTCCACCTAGGGGCCTAAGAACCCAGCAAGCCACCCAGGGGTCCACAACTCTCCCTGGACTGGCAGTAGAGGCCCCAGGGTGCCCCCAGGCCCTCCACCTACGGGCGGCTGACACAAGAACGCTCCCCAGGGGTCCATCTCTCTTCCTGGACTTGCAGGATATGCCCCAGGGTGCCCCCTGGCCCTCCATCTAGATGCCTCTGACCCCAGCAAGCTACCCAGGGGTCCACCTCTCTCCCTGGACTGGCTGCAGAGGCCCTAGTGTACCCCCTGGCCCTCCACCTATGGGCTTCAGACCCCATCAATCTACCCAGGGATCCACATCTCTCCCTGGACTTGCAGTATAGGCCCCAGGGTGCCCCCTGGCCCTCCACCTAGGGGCCTCTGACCCCAGCAAGCTACCCAGGGGTCCACCTCTCTCCCTGGACTTGCAGTAGAGGCCCCAGGGTGCCCCCTGGCCCTCCACCTAGGGGCCTCTGACCCCAGCAAGCTACCCAGGGGTCCACAACTCTCCCTGGACATGAAGTATAGGCCCCAGGGTGCCCACTGGCACTCCACCTAGGGGCCTTTGACCACAGCAAACTACCCAGGGGTCCACAACTCTCCCTGGACTTGCAGTAGAGGCTCCAGGGTGCCCCCTGGCCCTCCACCTAGGGGCCTCTGACCCCAGCAAGCTACGCAGGGGTCCACCTTTCTCCCTGGACATGAAGCATAGGCCCCAGGGTGCCCACTGGCCCTCCACCTAGGGGCCTAAGACCCCATCAAGCTACCCAGGGATCCACATCTCTCCCTGGACTTGCAGTATAGGCTCCAGGGTGTCCCCTGGCCCTCCACCTAAGGCCCTCTGACCCCAGCAAGCTAAACAGGGGTCCACCTCTCTCCCCTGACTTGCAGTAGAGGCCCTAGGGTACCTACTGACCCTCCACCTATGGGCTTCAGACCCCATCAAGCTACCCAGGGAACCACCTCTCTCCCTGGACTTGCAATAGAGGCCCCAGGGTGCCCCCTGGCACTCCACCTAGGGGCCTATGACCCAAGCAAGCTACCCAGGGGTCCACCTCTCTCCCTGGACTGGCAGTATAGGCCCCAGGGTGACCCTGGCCCTGCACCTTGGGGCCTCTGACCCCAGCAAGCTACCAAGGGGTCCACCTCTCTACCTAGACTTGCAGTCGGGAACCCAGGGTGCCCCCTGACCCTCCACCTAGGGGCCTATGACCCCAGCAAGCTACCCAGGGGTCCACTTCTCTCCCTGGACTTGCAGTGGAGGCCCCAGTGTGCCCCCTTGCGCTACACCTAGGGCCCTCTGACCCCAGCAAGCTACACAGGGGTCCACCTCTCTCCCTGGACTTGCAGTAGAGGCCGTCGGGTACCCCCTGGCCCTCCACCTATGGGCTTCAGACCCCATCAAGCTACCCAGGGAACCACGTCTCTCCCTGAACTTGCAAAAGAGGCCCCAGGGTGCCCCATGGCTCTCCACCTAGGAGCCTATGACCCAAGCAAGCTACCCAGGGGTCCACAACTCTCCCTGGACTGGCAGTATAGGCCCCAGGTTGCCCCTGGCCCTCCACCTAGGGGCCTCTGACCCCAGCAATCTACCCAGGGGTCAACAACTCTCCCTGCACTTGCAGTAGAGGCCCCAGGGTGCCCCCTGGCCCTCCACCTAGGGGCCTACGACCCCAGCAATTTACCCAGGGGTCCACTTCTCTTCCTGGACTTGCAGTAGAGGCCCCAGAAAGCCCCCTGGCCCTCCACCTAGTGGCATCTGACCCCAGGAAGCTACGCAGGGGTCCACCTCTCTCACTGGACTTGCAGGTTAATCCCAAGGGTGCCCCTTGGCCCTCCACCTAGTTGCCTCTGACTCCAGCAAGCTACCCAGGTCTCCACCTCTCTCCCTGGACTTGAAGCATAGGCCCCAGGGTGCAACTTGGCCCTCCACCTAGGGGCCTAAGACCCTAGCAAGCTACCCAGGGGTCCAATTCTCTCCCTGGACTTGCAGTAGAGGCCCCAGGGTGCCCCCTGGCACTCCATCTAGGGGCCTCTGACCCCAGCAAGCTACCCAGGGGGCCTCTTCTCTCCCTGGACTTGCAGTAAAAGCCCCAGGGTGCCCGCTGGCCCTCCACCAAGGGGCCTCTGACCCCAGCAAGCTACCCAGGGGTCCACATCTCTCCATGGACTTGCAGTATAGGCCCTAGGGTGCCCCCTGGCCCTCCACCTAGGGGTCTAAGACCCAAGCAAGCAACCCAGGGGTCCAATTATCTCCCTGGACTGGCAGTATAGGCCATAGGGTGTCCCCTGGCCCTCCACCTAGGGGCTTCTGACTCAAGAAAGCTCCCCAGGGGTCTACCTCTCTCCCTGGACTTGTAGTATATGCCCCAGGGTGCCCCCTGGCCCTCCACCTAGTTGCCTCTGACCCCAGCAAGCTACCCAGGGGTCCACCTCTCTCCCTGGACTTGCAGTAGAGGCCCTAGGGTACCTCCTGGCCCTCCACCTAGGGGCCTCTGACCCCAGCAAGTTACCCAGGGGTCCACAACTCTCCCTGGACTTGCAGTAGAGGCCCCAGGGTGCCCCCTTGCCCTCCACGTAGGGGCCTCTGACTCCAGAAAGCTACCCAGGGGTCCACCTTTCTCCCTGGACTGGCAGTATAGGCCCCAGGGTGTCCCAAAGCCCTCCACCTAGGTGCTTCTGACCCCAGAAAGCTACCCAGGGGTCCACAACTCTCCCTGGATTTGCAGTTGAGGCCCCAGGGTGTCCCCTGGCCGTCCACCTATGGGCTTCAGACCCCATCAAGCTATCCAGGGATCCACCTCTCTCAATGGACTTGCAGTAGAGGCCCCAGGGAGCCCCCTTGTCCTTCACCTAGGGGCCTCTGACCCCAGCAAGCTACCCAGGGGCCCACAACTCTCCCTGGACTTGCACTAGAGGCCCCAGGGTGCCCCCTGGCCGTCCACCTAAGGGCCTCTGACCCCAGCTATCTACCCAGGGGCCCACCTCTCTCCCTGGACTTGCAGTATAGGCCCCAGGGTGCCCCCTTGCCCTCCACCCATGAGCCTCTGACCCCAGCAAACTACCCAGGGGTCCACAACTCTCCCTGGACTTGCAGTAGAGGCCCCAGGGTGCCCCCTTCCCTCCACCCAAGGGCCTCACACCAGCAAGCTACCCAGGGGTCCGCCTCTCTCAATGGACTTGCAGTAAAGGCCCTAGGGTGCCCCCTGGATCTCCACCTAGGAGCCTGGGACCCCAGCAAGCTACCCAGGGGGTCAACCTCTCTCCCTGGACTTGCAATAGAGGCCCTAGGGTACCTCTTGGTCCTCCACCTAGGGGCCTCTGACCCCAGCAAGCTACCGAGGGGTTCACAACTCTCCCTGGACTTGCAGTATAGGCCCCAGGGTGCCCCCTGTCCCTCCTTCTAGGGTTCTCTGACACCAGCGAGCTACCCAGGGGGCCACCTCTCTCCCTGTTCTTGCCGAATAGGCCCCCAGGGTGCCCCCTGGCTCTCCTTCTAGGGGTGTCTGACCCCAGCAAGCTACCCCAGGGGTCCACAACTCTCCCTGGACTTGCACTAGTGGCCCCAGGGTGCCCCCTGGCCGTCCACCTAAGGGCCTCTGACCCCAGCCAGCTACCCAGGGGCCCACCTCTCTCCCTGGACTTGCAGTATAGGCCCCAGGGTGCTCCCTTGCCCTCCACCCATGAGCCTCTGACCCCAGCAAGCTACCCGGGGGTCCTCAACTCTCCCTGGACTTGCAGTAGAGGCCCCAGGGTGCCCCCTGGATCTCCACCTAGGAGCCTGGGACCCCAGCAAGCTACCGAGGGGGTCCACCTCTCTCCCTGGTCTGGCAATAGAGGCCCCAGGGTGCCCCCAGGCCTTCCACCTAGTTGCCTCTGACCCCAGCAAACTACCCAGGGGTCCACCTCTATCCCTGGACTTGCAATAGAGGCCCTAGGGTACCTCTTGGTCCTCCACCTAGGGGCCTCTGACCCCAGCAAGCTACCGAGGGGTTCACTTCTCTCCCTGTTCTTGCAGAATAGGCCCCAGGGTGCCCCCTGGCCCTCCTTCTAGGGGTTTCTGACCCCAGCAAGCTACCCAGGGGTCCATCTCTCTCCCTGTACTTGCAGTATAGGCCCCAGGGTGCCCCCTGGCCCTCCACCTAGGGGCCTAAGATCCCAGCAAGCTACCCAGGGGTCCAATTATCTCCCTGGACTGGCAGTATAGGCCCCAGGGTGCCCCCTGGCCCTCCACCTAGGGGCCTAAGACCCCAGCAAGCTACCCAGGGGTCCACAACTC